CCCCGGTAAAACTCCAATCTCCCCCAGTAACACCCCGATCTACCCCAGTAAGGCCCCAGTGGGGCTCCAACAAGGCTCGAGGGAACCCCGGAAAGCCGCGATCACCCCCCGCAAAGCTCCGAACTCCCCCGGCAAGGCCCCGGTCCATCCCAATAACCCCAATAACGCCGCGGCCAGGCCCGATGTTCCCCGGTACGATCCCAGCACCCCCCGCTAGGCCCCGGCTTGGCCCGGCCCAGCCGACCCTCCCCGTGTCCCCTCGCGGCCGCCCCGGCCCGGCGGGCCCCGCTCGGCCCCGGCGGCCCCATCACCTTTGTCCGGCGGCGGCTCCCGCTCCGCCGCCCCTCCCTCGCCGGGGCCGCGGGGCCGGGCCGGGCCGGGGGCGGATGCGGAAGTGAGGTCAGAGCCTTGGCCACCGCCCCGGGCCGGGCCCGCCCCACTCGGGCCTCACTCACCGTGCGCTCAGCGGCTCGGGGGGGCCATGGCGGGGGCGGCCCGGGCCGGGGGTTGCGGCGGGAGCGGCCCCGGGAGCGGCTCCGGGAGCGGGGCCGGGGCCGAGCGGGGACAAAGGCGGTGGCACAGGGGCGGGGCCAGCGCGGGACACGCCCCCTCACCCAGCGCACATTGGACAACGGCGCCGCGCGCGCCCCGGGGGCGGAGCCTCGAGGTGACCACGCCCCCTCATCCACATCTCGCCCACCCTCCCGCGCCCCCGCCGGGGGGGCGGAGTCTCGGTTGAGGGGCGTGGCCTAGCCCTATGACCACGCCCCCTCACAGCAGCCCGTAGTCCCGGAGGGGCGTGGCCACTCCCCCCGAGGGGCGGAGCCTCGATCTATGCCCGCTCCCCGCAGCCCGCGCTCTCGGCGGGGCCACGCCCCCGCAGTCTCGTCTATAGAAAGGGGCGTGGCACCGCAGTGACCACGCCCCCTCCCTCGAGCCACCTCAGCGCGGGACGCCGAGCGCCCCCTGGCGGCCGCTGCGTTGAACCCGCCCCCTCCCTCCAGTGTCACCCGCGGGTGACCCCGCGGACACGCGGGGGGCTCAGGGGATCCCGGGGGCGTGGGGGGCTTACCGTGGGTAGGGGGCCGCTCGCCGTCGGGGGTGGCGGGGCCCGCGGGCGCGGCGGGCGGGGACAGGGCGGGGGGCGGCGGCGCGGCGGGCGGGCTCTCGGCGCTCCTCGGCGCGGGCAGAGGGTCCCGGCGGGCGCCCTCGGGGACACCGAGAGGGGGCTGCGGCGGCGGGGACACGCGGGCACGGTCAGGGGTGGGCGGGGGGACAGGTGTGCACAGGGGTGGGCACAGGGGCAGGTGTGCACAAGTGTGTGTGGATCAGGGGTGTGTGGCTCAGGGGTGTGTGGATCAGGGGGGTGTGTGCGGATCAGGGGTGTGTGTGGATCAGGTGTGTGTGGATCAGGTGTGTGTGGATCAGGGGTGTGTGTGGATCAGGGGTGTGTGTGGATCAGGTGTGTGTGTGTGGCTCAGGGGTGTGTGTGTGGCTCAGGGGTGTGTGGATCAGGTGTGTGTGTGTGGCTCAGGGGTGTGTGTGGATCAGGGGGGTGTGTGTGTGGATCAGGGGGGTGTGTGTGGCTCAGGGGTGCACAGGTATGGGCAGGGTGAGGTGTGGGTGGCACGTGGGCATGCACATGCATGGCTGGAGGGTGCACACGTGTGCCTGGGTTGGCCAAGCACATGCACACACGTGTCATCAGGCACACATGTCCACACACACACACATGGTCTGGCACACACATGTGCACACAGACAGTGCACATGTGTGGGTGTGACAGAGGTGTGCACACACATGGAGCAGACACACGTACACACGTCAGGCAAACCTGTCAGCACACATGTGTGCATGGAGCAGGCACACACACTTGGATCTGGCACACAGGTACACACATGTGTGCACACACGTGTATGAGGTGGCAGGGGGGTGCACACACACGTCAGACACGGCACACACGTGCACACACGTGCACAGTTCACATGCACACACACGTGATGGGTGAGGCCAAGCTGTGCACACACGTGTGCATGGAGCAGGTGCACACATGCACAGCTCAGGTACACACGTGCACACCTGTACACACACGTGTGGATCATACATGTGCAGGACTGGGGCCCATCCACCCCCCTGTGCGCAGCTCAGGTACACACGTGCACACCTGCACACACATGTGTGGATCACACATGTGCAGGGTTGGGGCCCACCCCACCCCCCTGTGCGCAGCTCAGGTACACACGTGCACACCTGTACACACACATGTGTGGATCATACATGTGCAGGACTGGGGCCCATCCACACCCCTGTGCACAGATCAGGTGGCCACACACGTGACGAATGAGGCCAACCTGTGCACATACATGTGTGTGGAGCAGGTGCACACATGCACAGCTCAGGTACACATGTGCACACCTGCACACACATGTGTGGATCATACATGTGCAGGGCTGGGGCCCAACACCCCCCTGTGCCCAGGTCAGGTACACACACACACACACACACACACACACACACACACACGTGTGCACAATCACACCCCTGCACACCCACACACGTGTGCACACACCTGCCCCCCAAGCCCCCCGTTCCCACCCCAGTGCCCCCAGCCCTCCTCCCCTCCCGGGGAGTTTGGGGGCCCCTCATCATGGGGGTTTGGGGGGGGCCCTCACTGCAGGGGTTTGGGGGAGGGGGTTTGGGGGCCCCTCACTGTGGGGATCTGCAGGGGCGGTTTGGGGACCTCTCAATGCAGGAGGTTGAGGGGAAGTTTGGTGGGAGACTTGGGGGTCCCTCACCACAGGGGTTTGGGGGCTTCTCACTGTGAGGGTTTGGGTGGGGAGGTTTGGGGATCCCTCACCATGGGAGTTTGGTTTGGAGGGCCTCATGGGGGCTTGGGGTGGGGGGGTTTGGTTTGAGGGCCCCTCACCATGGGGATCTGAGGGGTTTTGGTTTGGGGACCCCTCCCCTGGGTGTTTGCTTGAGGGGGTTGGTTTGGGGGTGTCTCCCCACGGGGGTTTGGTTTAGGGTGGCTCTGGGATCCCTGCCCTGGGAGTTTGGTGTAGGGTGGCTCTGGGGGTCCCTGCCCTGGGGGTTTGGTGTCGGGTGGCTCTGGGGGTCTCTCACCGTGGGGGTTTGAGGGGTTTTGGTTTGGGGACCCCTCCCCTGGGTGTTTGGTTTAGGGGGTTGGTTTGGGGGTGTCCGGGTTTGGTGTAGGGTGGCTCTGGGGATCCCTGCCCTGGGGGTTTGGCTTAGGGGGTTGGTTTGGGGGAGTCTCCCCATGGGGGTTTGGTGCAGGGTGGCTCTGGGGTCCCTGCCCTGGGGGTTTGGTGCAGGGTGGCTCTGGGGGTCCCTCACCGTGGGCCCTGTGGGCTGCAGCTGCAGGATGACGGCCGAGGCGTGCTGGAACTTGCGGGGGGGGGCCGGGTGGCAGCCGCCGGGGTGCCCGTTGGGGGGGCCCCCCTCGCCCCCCGCTCCCTGTGGGACCCCCGCCTTGGGCTGGGGGGCGGGGCCGGGGCTGGCGGGGGGCAGGGGCTGCAGCTGGGGGGCACCGGGGGGGGCCGGGGGGGGCTGCCCGCGGGGGCCCAGCGGCTGCTGCTGCTGCTGGATCACGAACTGCTGCTGCTGCTGCTGCTGGGGCTGCACCGGCTTCGGGGGCTGCTGCAGGAACTGGGGGGGCTGCAGCGGGGCGTAGGCTGCGGGGACAGCAGGGGGGACAGGGACCCCCCCTTTGTCACTGCCACCTCAGCCCCAAAGGACCCCCCCCCAGGATCCTCCCCCCGAGGTGCTGCTGGCTCTGGTGCCCACGGACACCCCGCTGTGCCAGCACCTGCTGCTGCCGCAGGATGGGGGGCTCGGGCTGCCCCGGGGTGGGGGTCCCACATTTTGGGAGCCCCGCCAGTAGAGCACCCCCTGGCTCCAGCACCCCATGGCCCACACCCTCACTGCCCCAGCCCCCCCCCCCTTCTGCAGGGGCTCACCCTGGGGTCCTGTGGGTGCTGAGACCCAGCCCCTGCACCCCACAGGACCCCAGGATCCCGTGGGTGCTGAGACCCACCCCCTGGACCCCATTGCAAGGGTTCACTCCATGTAACCCTGAGATCCTATAGGTGCTAAGACCCAGTCCCTTGCACCCCATATGACCCCAGGATCCTATGGGTGCTGAGACCCAGATCCCCCACACCCCACTGCAGGGGCTCACCCCACAGACCCCAGGATCCTATGGGTGCTGAAACCCAGCCCCCTGCACCCCACAGGACCCCATGATCCTATGGGTGCTGAGACCCACCCCCACACCCCACTGCAGGGGCTCACACCACAGGACCCCAGGACCCTATGAGTGCTGAGACCCAGCCCCCCTGGACCTCACTGCAGGGACTCACCCCATGGAACCCCATGATCCTATGGGTGCTGAGACCCACCCCACTGCAGGGCTTACCCCACAGGACTCCGGCACCCTATGGGTGCTGAGACCCCCCTCCAGGCAGGGCCCCTGCCGAGATGGGAAGGACCCACAAGGTCCCAGATCCAGGCAGGGTGACAATCACTGGGTTCACCCTGCCCTGGTGTCTGAGCACCCAAAGCCCGGATGACATGTCCCCCAAATGGGTACCCGGGGGTGCTGCTCCCACAGACGGGCGAGAGAACCATCATTAGTTTCAGAGTGACCCCCCCGTGCCCCCCCAGCCCTCAGGGGTGCCCCCTCCCCTGGCACAGCCCCTTACCTGTGGTGACGAGCGGGTGGGCGGTGGTGGGGGCGGCACGGGCCAGGGGGTGGGCGCGGGCCTCGGGCCCCTCGGCCTTTTTGAGGTGCTCGGCGGGGGGGTCGGGCGGGGGGCCCCGGGGGGGGCCGGCCCGGGGGGGGGCACCCCCGGGGGGCTTCATGGCCAGGGCGGGGAGGTGGGGGCCGGCGGGGCGCAGGGCCAGGCTGTGCACCTGCAACGGCAGCGGGTCAGGGGCGGGGCAGGGCCGGGGGGCTGGGGGAGGGCTGGGGGGGCTGCAGGGGTCGGGGGGCTCACCTGGGGGGCGGTGGGGGGCGGGGCGGGCGCTGGGGCCGCAGGAGGGGCCGGCGCGGGGCTCTCGGGCCGGACGGCGCTGACGGGGCCCGTGGGCGTGAAGATGAGCTGGGGGCACAGACAGGGGGGTGGTCCCTCAGGGCAGGGTGGCACCCCATGGGCGAGTCCTCTCTGTGTCCCTTACAGGGTGGCACCCCATGTGTGACCCCCCCACCAACATCCCTACAGGGGTGGCATCCCCTGTGTGACCCCTCTTGTGTCCCT